TTCTGCTCCAACCATTTGTGTAATACAAAAGGAATACAGGGAAAGCACAACGTGTTTAATTATAAATGCTGTTTGCTAAGCTTTCAGAGGAAGTTACAGAACAGTGTTTCACCATAATGATATTTAATCTAATGAAATTTAAAAATGTCTTTAAAATAGGTTTTGTCTCCTTTACATGACAAACATGTTGTTCATGGTAATTACATCTGATTCACACAATAAAGCAGCTACCAGAAAACTAAAACAGAGATACATGAACAAATCAGCACGGGGTAAACTGGCTTCTGAACCTTTAGGGTGCATCACCTGTGCTGTGGGAACATCATGTAAATGTGTTCATCCCATGGTAAATTAAAAGTAGCTGATCCTTACTCAAAGAGCTGTTGAAAGAATTCCTGCTCCTTTGCCAGCAAGTCCTCTGGCTTTGAGCAGATGTGGTCAGATGCATGAGACCAAGCCCTGGCAAGAGCTACAAATCAAGATACAGCCATTAAGCAAGAAGCAAATACCAGCCCTGCTTAAAACATCGTACATATTATCACAGCTTCAGGGAAAACAATTCTGCCTGCTCTTTCTGGGTTTGTTCCTTAGAAAGTACCTGTTCAAAATGCCTAGAGAAACAACCCAGTCCTTGAGTCAACATTTTAGTGGTTACTACAGACATTTTTGGAAGCTCTGGTCTGACAGTGCTTCAACTCACATTATTCCTTTAAAAATATCTTTGCATGGGGGAACATGATCTGGCAGCTCATGAGGACCTCTGGTGCATAGGATTTGCTCTTTTAACAGCAACAAACACATACAGAGTTCAGAAGGTAAAGTCAGGAGCAAGTTGTGTGTACACAGAGGCATGGATGAGTCCCCAGAAGTCTCTAGGGAATTTTGACATACAGTATAAAGAATTATAATGAGCAAGACAATTATCTGAATGTTCCTAGAGTACCCAATAAACTGTTTTACCTCATATATGTAACATTTTGGATAAAAGCAGTAGCGCTTAAAAGAATGAAGAATTCCTTCTGTAAGCTTGGGATTGTGTCTAATAAGTCTAAATACAAAGGCTCTGGAACAAACTGTCTGATAACTCAACCAGAATATTATTACCTACTATTGATCCAAGAACCGAGCTGAAATTTGGAAATTTGAGTTATTGCAGTTAGAATGGAAAATACTTGAACTTCCTCAGCTGTGATTGCAGATTTCAAAATAAGTGTCAGATATTCCCTTTATCTTCTCAGAAGCAGGTTATGGTGACATTAGGCCTTGTGTCCTTTGAAACACAGCAATTTATCAACAAAAAATGCAACCCAAAAAACAAATCATCTACAAATCACCCCTTGATCTAAGTCACATTATTAGTCTTTAATGCCTGAATGTGTCTGGCATTTCTATAAAGATATTAGTCATAATAAAATTCCAGCTCATTCATTTGGCCACAAAGATATTTTTTTTTATTTTTTTTTTAAATTCTAGAAATCCATTTTAGAAAAAACCTCCAGCTTTGGATGGGCATAATTCTCCAGTTAGTGCCTGTATCTAATGCCAGTTAGACAACTTAGATTTGGAATTTATCTTCTCATGTGTCATAAGCTGGTTTAGGATCAGTTGTTAAAACACAAAAATGCACAAAAATAGTTTCCAACTTTCATTCTCCTCATTAAAGACAATTTCTTTTAACTTCTACAGTAAACGATTAGGATTCACTAATGAATTCTATGGTCTCCTAAGAGCAGCTTTGGTCTCCCTTCCCTGATCTTGCTCTGGAAGTCCAAATTAACTTGTGTGATTTTGTCCAGCCATTCAATTGAGATGTGTTATAAATCTGAATCAAATATATTAAGTCAGTTTTGCATTATTTGGACTTGATCACTTTGGCCTCTCCCCTTTGGAACTCTCTTCATTACCTGGAAGGCCCAATTAATGTTCCACCACATTTAAGTCCTTTTTCTTTGTTAACCCTTTGCCATGGTTGAGCTCCTTGAGGTTCCTCAGGGAGATTGGAGGCTCAGATCCCAAGGCACCCCAGGGACTGAGGGAGCTGTGGCAGCCCCAACACCAAAGTTGTGTCAATTCACCCATTTGACACAAGAGTTTAACCACAGGCAGGGCTGCCCTGCCTTTCTGGCACCCCCCAGCCATGGCAGGTTGGGATCTTTGCTCCCATGACACAACTTGATCAAATTTCCTTGGCTGAGCACGTGCCCCAGAACGAGGTCTGTCCTCAAACTGACCACTGCCACATCCTTTAGGAGGAAATGGAATCCAGAGCTCCTCCCTCAGCTGCTCAGGCTGAACACCGCATCCCCAGGCCTGGCCAAAAGCATCCCGGCCCTCTGCACCAGACTCAGCTTCACTCAATGGAAAAATCAATAATGGAGAACAAAATTCTAACAAAAGAATTAATTTTTTAAGTGCTTGAGAAAGTGAGCATCTCTTTAGCTGTCAGCTCAATTATTCTGTTAAGAATTAATTTGTTGATATTTCCACAACTCTGGCTTTCCAAAGCCCACACAAGTGGGGTGGGAGAAAAAAAAAAAGGGAGAAAGGTTTTGTTGTGTTTTATTGAGAGGTTAATTGGAGTAGGGCTCAACAATTGGGAAATATAGAGTGAATATGGACTACTGCAAAGTGACAACCATTAACATGTTATTCTATAGAATACTTAGATACTGGAAATATTTTCCAGCTGAAATCCATCCAAGTTTTCTTCTATCCAGTGCTCCATGTTTAGTCCAAGAACATTAATGATGAAAATCTAGACAGCGTTACACAGTGTGAACTATTAGATGTACACTGATGATACTTGATTTTATATTGCCTTTGGCTGAGCCAGCCCATAGAATTTAAATGAGCTGAATTCTGGCCTGCATCTGCTGTTGAATGAGTAAACATTAAATCAAACTTAAGACTTCATTACAGAGTTGAAAGTCTGTTTTCCTCCAGACCTGGTGTACCACATGATGCAATCAAACACATTATCTGTCAAGCATCCAAAAATGAACTAAATGACTCATAAAAGCAATAAATAAGACACGGTCTCTGCCCCTGTAATTCTTTACATTGTAAAATTAAAACAAGACTCCCAGAAAGTCCAAATGCTGAGGAAATCAGCCCTACAATGGAAATGGAGGACATGGGTTATACAATATGATAAAGCAGTTTTCCCCTAGATGAAGGTGTCTCTCCTCCCTTATTTTCAGTGTGACCTACACATGCATGAGGCTGTTGTAGGACACTCCTGAGTGTAGGTGTGTCTGTTGGATTCGTCAGCAAATGGGGCTGAATCTCTCCCAACTGCTGCTTGCTCACAAATAACTCAATACAGTCGAGCTCCCAAAGCTTTAAAACACCAAAATCCAAGTTCAGTGCAGCAATAACCAAAAATCTCAACTTCAGAGTGGACTCAGCAGGCATCCATCCCTCTGATTTACACAGCAGCCTAATAAAATCTCAGCTCAAAACAAAGGGGAGAATCCTCCTGTACCCCAGCAAGGCCAGCCCAGGCAGCAGCTGCTCCCAAGAGCTTTTGCAGAGGCAGAGCAGGTTCCAGTGACACATTTAAACATCCAAACACAGCTGGACATGTCCCAGACCATACAAATGATAAAAATATTGACTAATTACAGAAATCTCCATTACACTTATTTACATTTTGCAATTGGATACTAAGCCTATTATATTTCAAATATACATCAATTATTTCTTTTTATTAGGAAGGTCTAGTGCTTTTGCATTTTGTTAATGAAGGCTTGCTAAAATTACCTGCTTTTAAATGTAATTATTTGGTCAACACCAGGCACGAAGCTCCAAATTTCTGTTTTGGTTATGACAGACAAGGAGTCCTACAGTGATAGTGGAAACTGAGCCTGCTGGTAGTGAATTTTTTTTTAAATTAAATTAGACCTTCAGCACCTGACGAGTCTATTGAGTGTTAAATGGCTCATGGTACCAATGAAGAATATTGATTAATTCCTTTGAAACAGAATCAGATAAAATTTTGCACTTCATTTTGTGAACCCTGAAAAAAAAATCGTTTACATGGGTAGACATTTTCAAACATTGCTTCTCAGACAGCTTTAAACATTCTTCATCCAGGGCTCATGTGGGGAATGAGAAGAAGAAATGCTGGAATTTTTGTCTTAACTCCATTTATCAAATGCTGCCATACCCTTCCTCTGCTGTAACCTACCTGAGATCTTTGGGACAAAATCCAAGCTCCTGATGTACTCTCCATCATGTAGGTGTGCCTGTAACAAGTGCTACTCTTTTGGGATTCCACAGCTGAAGAGTTGCTATAATCTGGCTACAGGCATAAATCTTCCAAAATATTGGTTTTTAAATACACTAATGTTAAGAATATTCAACATTATAAAATGGTAGTCTTAAAGTAAAAGGTGTCCACCGAGATTAGATCAAATATATACTTTTTTTTTTTCATGTCAATAAGACTTGATAAAGCTTTAGAGGCTTTGATGGGATTTTTTTTTTCCCCCAGACCTTTATGCAGTGGTTTCACATTGATTGACATTTGGAGAAGAAGTGAGAAAACAGATTTTCCTTAATAGATGCAAAAAGTCCCCAAATCAAAATTTTCATGCTAGCAAACAGAAATAAGGAATAAACCTGCTCATGAGACACTGATGTCTGATAGAACATTATTTCAATATATACACCTAGTAACAAAAATTTTACTCAGACTGTTGCCATGGTATTTGTCACTAGAAGTAAATCTCAGAAGGAAAAGTATGCAGCAGTTTTCCTCTCAGATGCAATAACCACAAGGCCAATCAAGAGACACCTTATTTCATTACCAATCCACAAAATTTCTGCAGAAGCAGGCCCTGAGGATTCACTACTACCAGCTGTATCCTTTACAGTTTTTAAAGTAAAATACTTAAATAAATAAAATATTTAATATTCCAAACTATTGGGCCCCGTGGTTCAAACTGATGGAAGAAAAGCAGTGATATAAAATGCAACAAATACAAATATTCACTGTATTTTCACATAAGTGATCTACATTTATTGGCCCTTAATGGGACAATCCTTTAAGACTCCAAAGATGACTGGATTTTTGCTCCCTCTTGGATAATTTACACAGAATCCAATCACTTTAACACTTAATACAGAAGGCAATGAATACCCAACACTGGCATTGAGGAGATACTCAGCCAAGAGAAAAACCCATACAACAAAAGGATTTCAAGCATGTAAAGGTACATTTAAATGTATTTACATATTATTTTAATAAAGCCTGAGTGCCGTGTTTGGGTGTGTGCATGGTTTATTGCATCAAACAGGGTGTAAAGATGCACAGGTCTTGGCTGGCTGAAGTTGAGAGCAGCACTAAGTGCCCATAGGCTCTGCCTGCCTTGAGAAATCACTTCTTGTTGTAAAATACCAGACTTTAGCACATTCTAGAGAATGACATCACCCAAAGCAGCCTGCCAAAAATGTTACTTTCACATTTCTTCAACGAAAAGATTTCTTTTCACCACTCTTTTTATTTTTTTAAAGTCAGTCAGTTGTTCAAAAACCTGAGCGTTCTAAGTACTTCCAGGCCTATAGATGAGTAGATTTTAACACAAGTAAGTGACTATGCCTTTTAAAAATGTTGTGTTTAAATGTACCATTTCTCCTGGTTCTTTTTTGGCATATTTGTATTTGCAACCATGCTGAGCTAAAATAATACAAAGTTGCTGCAATTACCATACTGAAATGACATTTTTTGCTTTAGATTTATCCCTATTGCACTGAAGAATACTCCTTATGAAACTATGTCTGCCTGCTTAGTGAGCTGTAGATAACCCACTGGAAATACTGAACATTAATAATAAGATGAATCAGGCAAACCAGACTTTTTTGCATTTTCAAGAAAGCTTTTTAAAGGTAACAAGTGCAAGTGATGTATTCCACTCCTTCAAATAGTGTAAATAAAGAACAAAAATAACTAACTTGCAGAAATAATGGTTCTTTCACTGAAATATTCAAGATAAACTCATTGATTTTGCAGTTCTGATGAAGGTTTTATGTTTTACCTTGGTGAAAGCCACAGCTGAAGCACACAGGAGCTTTCATCCAGTGTTCATCAGTCTCAGGTGTTACTCCTTTCTCTGCCAGTGTTACCAAGTCAACACCCAGCTCCTCACTGCAGAAACTGTGTCTTCATTGCTGGGTTTGAACCTAAATAAGACAATTCCATTTTAGCTTCTGCTGTAAATATTTGGATCATTTCCCTTTTGAAAAAAAGGGGATAAACTGCAGCATGTTCAAGGTAGGTGTATAAACTAAAAGCTGTCTCTGCAACCCAATGGCATTGCCTTGGTGCAAAGGAATGAATGTTCTGTGCTCATCTTTTGTAGCTCTTGTTATTAAACAAATAAATAGAAATACTACTGAAATTCAGATGCCTTTTTTTGACAAAAGCTGGGCTAGTCCTAAATACAAAGCACTTTGGTACAGAAAATGAAGCAGCTTTCAGACAAGAATCCAGTGTTATCAAGGGGGAAGACAAGAGAATTCAACACAATTTTCTAATGTAATAACCCAGTACTAAAATGTCTTCAAAATTTTATCACCAAAATTGTCATATTTCACATGAACATTTATATATTCTATAGCTACACAGGATCTTTTAAAGGCACACCTGTGGAGGAAACATTATTCTTTGTGCCTTTTTCTTTGTGCTTCCACAATGATTTTTTAGCTACAGATTGATAACTAGAAAAAAAAGGAGGGCAGACAATGAATGCAGCTGCTTTGATCTGCTTGTAAAGTAACTCACAATGTTCTCCAAGGGCAGGTTGCACTGCTTATGTAAGAAACATTACAATAAATTACTTATTTATTTTTCATTAGAGTCTAGGCCATAATAAATTAAGAACCCCAAATCTGTGCTGAACTTTCATTCATAACCACATTTTAATGTAAACATTAAGATGCTTCCACAGTTATTTTGGATTATAAGTGAAGGAGAACAAGGTTTTAAGCATAATTTCATGATTCACAGCTCTTCCTTCTTCATGGCACACAGTTCCTCCAGGGCTGCTTTCTACTGCCTGGCCTCAGACAACTGAGAAAAGGCTGATACCATCCAAGTCATTCTGCTTCACTGGGACAAGATCAAACTGCATGAATTCTCCTCATATTCAAATACACTGTTCTCAGGATGGCTCAGTGAAGTGAATGAAGACTTAAACAGGAGTAAAATGAATTCTTGTTTGCTCTATCAGCTCAGCAATTCTGGGCATCAGAGGATCCATTTAGATTAATTGTGTTTATACACTAAAAGGTATTTTTAAAATGCAGAAGAGGAGGGAAAAATCCCAACACATTGGCCTATTGCACAGAGAATGTGAGATTTTATTCAGCCATGTATGTGATATAATATTCTTTTGAAGTTAAAATACTTTTATTTTCAGTGGCTTTATTTGCAGATTGTAGCTCTTTTTCTGCAGAGGGCATCAGTGCAAGGTGAGATTAAAGACAAACTTTACAAATCCCTATTTTGTGGCATTAAAAGTAGAAAACAGAGGAGCTTTTCCCCTCGGTGCTTGTCAGGGCTGCCCTGAGAAGTGCAGTGCTGGGTGCTCGGGTTACACATAATCCCCCAGCTTCGAGCAACAATTAGCACCACAATCTCTAGAAAAGCTTTCAGCTCTCAACAGGTGCCTGAGCATTGTGCTCAGGTTTAAATCAAAATCTGGCAGCGGGAATGTCCCACCTCCTGCCACCCCTCCCCATCGAAACAACTCTGATTACAGCCCAGTCAGAGCAGCTCCACTCTCATTTTTCTCCAAAAAGACCAAACATGACTTTCACCCCTTTTGTCTGAGTGCTTTTTTCCTTTATCTTCCTTCATCTCTCTGACTCAGAGATCTGAAGGCAGGAAGTGGAATTTATTGGTTGCATACTATGAGTCTACTACTTCTCTCCTGACTGGTGAAAATAGAAGCAAATCCTTTGAGAGCTATATAATTATAATGACAAAAATCAGAAAGACTTTCCCTCTCCCTGAGGAGTTTCAGAAATTAGAGTCCAGAAAAATGCACCAGTACATCAGTCTAATATTAATATTGTATCTGCATTAAGGTGTGAATTATATATCTGAGGGGTTTTTTTTGTAATATTGTGCATTATAAAATCTCCTTCCCAATCAAAAATCGTATTCTTTAGATGAAATTTTTTTTCTGTCTTTCAGAGCATCTTCACAAGGCAAGAATGGCAAAGTGCCTCTTACGATTCCAACTTGTACAGTAAGTAAAACAACACTGAATACTTCTCAGAAATAGTCTCTTTTTTCCAATGCAGAGGCATGCTCTACCCAGAAGAAATATTTATTAGGAAGAATTCCCTCCTTAGTAGTCAGTCAAGCTTTTCTGATCCAGTAACAAACACTTTCTGGCAAAATAAACAATTTAGAGCCCTGCAATACTCAAGGGAGGCTGACTGCCTAGTGAATTAATCATTTATGATGAATAAAAAGAAAATTGTTATGAGAGATATCAAAAGATGCAGTAAAACACAATGGCACTTAAAAGAATAAGAAATCGTGACATTTGATCTGACTTGTTTCCATATGGAGACAAGACTGATAATACAAACCAGATATTCCTTTGGCAAAATTCAGATTATAAACTCAAGTCTCCACAACACAATGAGAAAACAGAAAGGAGATTAATCATGTGCAATTTCCAGTTTGCTTTCTTCTCTGCATCTTGTGGAGTCCTACTGCCATTATCTTTCTGGGCCATGCTCATGACTGTTTCTCCCAGATTTTTGCTGCCCTCTGGTTCCTCTGCTCCTCCCCTGGGCAGATCCCAGGGGTTCACACCCTGTACCTGGCAATCAATCCCCAGGAAACTCAGCATCCTAAACGGTGTCTTGGACTTGTTAATCCTTTAATAGTTTTTATTATTCTTTTCCTCTAATCTAAGTTTATTATCAACTAATTCTTAATTATGCATCTCCTTCCTCCCTTGGATCTGAAGCCTCCCCTGGGTCAGAAGTGCTCAATACCATGAAAGGGAAGGTCACAAAAATCAATTTTCACATACAACTGAAGCCACACATGATCCTAGCAGCCAATAGCTCATGGCCAGAACATGGAAATAGCTCCCAGTTATGCTGTAACATCCTTCCATTCCTCTAGGATGGCTACAGAAAGAATTCACCTCCTGAACTGAAGCTGGCAGCTAAAACAATGGCCACCCTGGAAGTCAGGACCCTCTTTTGGGTGAGTGGGGCCTCACCCAAAGCCAGAAGGGCAGAGAGGTCTGCTGGGCTTTGGGTGAGCAGATTTGGAAGAGAGGTGCAGATAAGATAAAATGGTCAGAGAAAATTAAATCAAGGCAAGAACAGAGAAGAAAAAAATCAATGTTCCTGGCAGTTTGCCATTGGCACAATAAGCTCTGTATTGACATCAGTATATTCCTGTAACTGCAGCAAATCTAGTTTTTACAGCTCTGTCCAGTAGAATTCATCAGCTACAGTTCTACTAAGTAGCAGAATTAAATTCTTATTTTTTAAAAAAAAAGTCTCAATTTTAATATATCAAAATTGACTCAGACAAAAATGGCAAAACTACTGCAATGTAAAGAGCTTATTCTCTTTAATTGACTTAGTGCAACTACCACAGCTTGCAAGAGGAAAGTCTGGAGTCTTTTATTCTATCAATAACATTCTTATGTTTTTACAAAACAGCAAATCTATACTGAAATAAAAACCTTCACCTAAATGTTTCCAACCCACTTTCCCAGAAAGAGGTTTCATGAACAGATGTGGTTTCAGGATGATAAAAAGTTCATCTTGCCTCTTTATTTCATTGGGCAAGTAATCAGCAGAACACACACAACGCCAAAATGACAGGATTTGGACTCCCAGCCATGCTGGATTTCATGTCACTTACAAAGATAAGTAGACAGCTCGAGGTCATCATGAGTGTGTTTCACTGGAAAATATTAATCTTTTTTATGGATTCACAATGACTCTAGAAAATACCTTACACAGAAAGGCCAATTTCACTCTGCTGAATTATTTTGTTATCAGCAGTTTAGGATTCACTGTGAGCCTTAAGGACAAGCCAAAATCTAATCGTACTACTTTTCAATAATAATAATAAAAAGACAAGATCCTGACCCAATTTATTTACAATCTAAACAAGACTGAAAATAGCAAGGAAACACCAAAGAAATATTGATAACAATGAAGAGGAATAAACCAGAAGCCTATTGCAGTTGATTTTTTTTCATGTGAAAACATGGAAGTTTGGGTTATTTTGGGGTACTTCTGAGGAGCCTCTCCAAAATGTAAAGGAAGCAAAACCAAGAACATAAACTTACTTTATCTGGAATATCATTGAACAAAGGATAGAGCCATATCTCTAAAAGTGGGGCAAAAAATTAACGAAGAGATACTAAAAATCAAGAAATTAGAAAGCAAAAGAAATTAGCAAGCACCTGTATGGGGAAAGAAGTGGACAAAAGATAAGCACTGAACTGGAAGTGGTGCAAGGATTGCTGGACTTCAAATGGGCAACTCTGCTCATTTCCAGAACTTCAGCTGTTCTGCTGAGGAGAGAGCAGGAGTGATGGATGCATCCCAGTGTGGGATAATTCTGAAGTCAGAGAACATATGCTTTGGGTTTAATCCAACTGCAGAGTTCTGGCAAACATGCTGCATTTAGAGAGGCAAATACATCAACTTCAATTTTTTAGCAGCTGTGCTGCCCTTTAATTGCTCACACCCTGAAGTGTACACTTGTACCCCTCTCCCTCACCTCCAAAAAGCAGATCACTTCAAACAGCCCAGCCTTTCTATCTGAAGCCAACTAACAGCTCTTGCCCACTGGAATTTTCTCTGAGATATACTGTTATTTTCCACTTCTTCTGCCCATTTTCTTTTTAACTAAACACACATTGAAGTGTCTTCCTAGGAAGGCTGAGCTAGACTAGCAGGAAACAAGGCTGCCTAGGTCAGCTGGCAAGCTCCTCCCTAGAAATCCCAAATTATCCCAGATCCAGAGTGTCCTCTCTTTCACAAATTAAGGTTCTGATCCATAACTCCAAGCATTAACTCTATCCAGTGTATCAGATCCAACTGAAGTCAGCAGCAGTACCAGACCACCTCTAACTTTGCTTTTCCTCCCAGCCTTCAGTGGGGGTTGTACTCACACATCTCAGGTCACATCCACAACCTCTGGCCAGCAAAGCCCAGCTGCCTTCGAGCAGAGCAGAGCTGAGGAGCAGGAGACAACATCTAAACCTCTCCTCACAACCAATCAGGTTTAGGCACCCATCAAGCTCATTGGCACCAGGTATTTCACATTCCCTCAATTACAGCAAACACCATCTTAGAGCTACAAACCTTTTAATGTGAGCAGGCAGCAGGTGCCAGGAGTTAAAGGGGTGATGGCAGTCAGGGCTGGAACAATCCCCTTGAGGCCTAAGGAGAGAAAAGGATGGTGCAAGAGAGCTGTAGGAAAGGAAAAAGTGTTAATTTTGTACCTGGTTTTCCCTTCCCCTGGCAGCTGAGGGACAGGAGGAGCTGCACAGAGGGAGAGGTGCAGAAGGATGGGGGTGCTTTGTTTAAGGCCACTGAGGGAATGAGAGGAGAATTTGGCTGAGGCAGCAAACGCAGAGGAGGGTGAACCCTGCTCCCCTCATGGCTCACTGCTCTAGAGCCCCTCTGGCTGCTCACCCCCAGCCCTGCCTGTGCTGCAGTGGGTAGGGAGGAAAATCCCACAGGGAATGGAAAGGGATAATAATCCAGAGTCTGGGCTCCTCACCATCACACACAATGAGGAGAGAGGCAGCCCTGCCCGCTTCCTGCTCCTCAGGTTTCTGTTTTGCACTTGCCACCAGTTAATGACTTGCTGTCGCAAAGCCCTTCTGTAAGCATGAACTGGCAGCTGTTCGTGGAGGTCTTTCCCAGGGTTGGCCTCTTGTATAAATGCATTTATTCCCCATATCACACCCAGACTCAGGACAAGAATGAACTGCAGTAAATAAATCTCACCTGCAGGCCTGGGTTTTTGTTGGTTTGTTTGTTCTCAACTGCTGCACTCACAGGAACCCCCTGGCCATGGCTGGGTGCAGGAGCTCAGCACCCCTGGACTCCAAAGCACAGGAACAACTCAGCTCCTCATCAGCTCCAAACAGATGACTCCAGCAGTTCCCACACTCATCCCTGCCTGAGACACCTTTGGAGCATAGAACAACCTCAGCTGAGGCACATCTTGTGAATGCACCACATTCCTGTCCACCTCCAGCACATGGAGGAAGTTCAGCTGGCACCGAGTGTCGGAAACAGCCCCGGTGCAGCAGGACAAACAATCTCCCAGCACTGCTTCACTGAGACACAAATTTCAATCTTGTTTGTTCAGAAACGACTGCCCCCGCTGTCGCCAAGAAAACCCAGCTCCCTGAAACACAGAAACTCTAAATTATTTATTAAGATCTTGTTTGGCTCCTCTTGAGCTTTGTATTTTGTTTTCATTTGTCAGATTGAGCACTGCTTGGCTGTATACTGAACTACACCATGACCCCTGATTCACTCTTCCACCAATTCTCTTCATATCTCTTAATTGTCTTGAAATAGCCAGACTTGTGAGTGGTAATTAATGTTTCTGTGAACTTGGACACTGGAAATCCAAAAATGATTAGATTTCTGGAGGGCTGAATGAACTGGTGTCTACCAGTGTATTGGTATGTAGTGATGTGAGCTTGGAACTGTGAACTTCTGACTCCAAAACCTGGGTCTACCTTGTTATTTCACCTCTGCCCTTCCCTGTGCAGAAGGAGAATCTCTCTCTTTATTCACCTACCTCCCAAGTTTGGGAAAAAATCTGGAATGTGACATAAGTGCTAACACTGTAATTAGTAGGAAAAACTTTCCCTGTTCATCCCAACATATTCAACAACAGATGCCTATCACTTAAAAAAGACTAATCAAAATTTTAGAACATATATTCTGGGCAGAACATTTCTAAAACAGAAAGTATTCAAGATGGAATTGTCTTGATAGTGTCTGCTGTAGACAGACTTAGGACAGCTCATTTTGTTTAAAAAAATTAAATTGAAAGCTTGTGGAACTTGCTTTTGTATTTTTCTGTTATAAATTTAAACCTGTGTTATAAACAATGAGATGAAAAAGAATTTTCTTAGTGCTGGTAGATTAAGACATCATTTGTAATGCCCAGGAGGGGGAAACTTGGGATTTACTGCTTTTGGATCCAGAGTGTCATGGAGCATTAAGAAGATTCCTGCAAAGCTGCCTGACCTCAGGCTCTGTGGAATTCCCTGTTCCACAGCACAGTGAGGCTACAGACCAGCTCTGCCTTGTAGTAGCATCCTGAAAATGGACCTCACATTATTTTGGCCCACAGAGGGTGGAAAAGTGGCTGCTATTTTGATCATCTAATTATTGTTATTCACTGTTATTGTACAGTGAAACATTAGTTCATGCAGAAGACAAGAAAGGCAAAGATCATTGCCAAGGAAATGAGGATGAACATTTTCTGTAATATACAGACAGGTCACATATAGAGAAGAACAAACCTGAAGCACTCACAAAACTTCCAAGGTAAATTCCAGCAAGCTTCTGGGGAAACAAAATAGCCCATGATGTTCTCATAACCAATTGAAATTGTCAGATTTAATCAGGATTTCTTTTCTCTGTGCTGTGAGACCATAGATGAAGGCTGTAAGACAATAAATATTGCACAACAGGAAGAATAAATATTCCATAATGTCCTATTCCAAGAGAATGACATTTGAAGTTTCAGGCTTATTAAAGTCTTACTTTAAAAATAAAATATAAAGAGAATCTGGGGATTGTATAAATACATATGCTAGAGTCAGGCTAAAACTGTTCTTCAGACTTCCAGTTTCAAGCAAAAAATTAAACAGCTCTTGCATATGCCCTGGTGTCAGCCTGTCTCTCAAAGCTTTGCAGTAATAGAGCTGGGTCTCACCCATTGATTTCCAGGAGATTAGATCCCTAAATCCCAGTATCACATTTTCTAGAGTTATTGATATAATATAAACCCAAAATTTTCCATCCATAAAGACATCAGCACCCAGCTCTGCCAAAGCAAGGACCCTCCTCAGCTGAGGAGTGTGAAATGACGCACGAGCACAGTTTTATACTCAGACAGATACACAAAACAAAATTATAAAATGCTTTAAGGTCATCCTAAGAAAATTGTATGACTGGGAGGTCATGACTGAGAAATTATCAACTCATTTATAATCTCAATTATAATTTTATAATGCCGAGTTATTCAAGATATTTGGCACTCTGAGAACCTGTGCTTCTCTTTTGTATTGCTGTGTTGTTACTGAACAGCAGTGACAGGCAAGTCTGCAGGACCAAAACTCAGCCACCCCTCTGATTATAAATAAATAAATTTGTATTCAAATTTTAAATTTGGAGAACTGAAAAACAGAGATTGACATAACAGTTATCTGTGAAGGAAAAGAAAAAATTGTGATTTAGGCAAATAATTAGTCACATGATGAATATTTTAAATTTCATGATATGACTGCTTACATCAAGAATAGGTAAGAGTAGAGATAGTGATTAAAATGTCTGGTTTTTAGAGAATGTTCAACAGTTCTAAGGTTTTCACCTTTAAAGAGGTAGCAACATCTCCTGGTTTGCAAAGCATAGCCAGCCTGCGTGCGATTCCTGATCCACTTCAGATAGAAACACTTACATAATGCCAGGTCTGGAGGAAACAAATGACTTAAAGCCCTGGCCATTTGCCAGATCTCCAGGGTTCAAGCCCTGGGTGAAATGGGAATGAGAATATGTTACAATATAAATCTTGTGGTGGTGGATGTGAAATCACTTCAGTGATCACAGAGCAGTTTCTGGTGAACCAGCCCCTGCTGTACAACCACACTGCTGGCTCTGACTGTCCTTTTTTTGCTGACAGTCTTGGCAGAGCAAGCGAGGACTCACTGATAAGAGGGGACTCTTATCTCCAGCGGTGGTCCTGGGGTCAGAGTTGAGGAATGTTGGCTGGATAGCACCAGAGCATGTGCTGCTGCTGCTGCCTGCAGTGTGTTTATCTGTTCCTTCCACGAGCATCTAATGCTCCATGACATAATCAGGACCAAGAGTAAAGCTACGTACAAAAAGAACCAAATATTTCATCAATGACAACACCACCAAGAACCGCGTTAGTAAGAAATAAAACATTTTTGAACCTCAGGAGAGAATTAGAATGGAAATAAACCTTAAGACATGAATTTTTAATTACCAGATATTGGGAAAGAATGTTTTCTTTGGGGGAGCTTTTCTGAAACTAGCAGCTGTCATATTCCTTGTGCCTTTATCCTTGTTTTGGAGGTACAGCACCAGCCTGGATGAACAAAGGCAACTCACATGCCACTGCAAAACTCACCTGTAAGCAGCTTATACCTAGAAATCATTTGGAAGTTTCTTACTGTCAAAGTTATATGAGCAGCAGAAAAGAAACACAACAGAAAAAAAAAAAAAACTTAGCAATTGCAAGCACCATTTAATACAGAAATATGGAACAGGGAAACCCAAGCTGTTTTTAAGTCAAGGCTGAGCCATCCAGTGTCACCATATGAGTGTCACAAAAATGAGATGAACTGGAAGGATCAGAATCAAAACCCACACATGGAGTGTCCCCTGCAGCAGGAACTGTGCTCATGGCAAAAAGGGATTGCCCAGGGTATCCTGATTGAGGTCACTGAGATAAAATGTGCTTAACTATAAAAATTTGTATGTCTTTTAAGTCATCTGTAGAAAATCTAAACTGAAACCTTCCCGATTTTTAAGTTCTTGGCAATGTTGCTTCTCCCTTTTTCTCCTTGACTGAGCACTAACATACACTGTGTCAGTTAAGGTCAGGCTTATCTGAGCCTCTCTGAACTACTAATTCTTCTCTCTCCCAAAAGTGAAATCTAAACCTGTTGGAATTGGCCTCTCCTTTCACAAAACAGGATGTGAAACGAGGGCTGATAGCCCTGAGAGTAATGAAAAAAAAAAATCTAAAGAAGTTTGCTTTTGTAATGGTGTTAACAGTCTAAATATCACAAGCTTTAATATATCAAATAGTCAAGGAATATTAGGAGATAATATTAATCAGGGACATAAAAATTCAGACATTTATATTTGTGTCAAATATTGTACTAATATATAATATATTTGTATATACATAGACAAACAGTGTGTGTTTGTGTGTGGATCAGGGCCACTTCTAGCCACCTGCATATAAGTGAGCTAAGCATTCACTTTGTCCACAAAAATAACCAGCTGCCAGGTCCTTAGAAGAAACTGTCCCAAAAGGACATAATTTAAGAAAATTATTCTTATCATTGAAACCTATAGCCTATATCAGGTGATACGCAGTTATTAGCTTTGTAACAGAACTTTGATCACTGCTTTTGGAATTTAATTGTAAAATTGAAAAATGCTGGAATAGTTTGGTGGACCACACGTAGCATTGTCATTAAAATACAAAATTCAACATATTCTACATATGTTATGCTTATATGAATGAAAAAGCTAACAGGGGTATAGTTATGATTTCCTATCCTCTACCCCCTTGTTTGTTCTTCTGTCCAGTGTTTGCTCTCTGATCTACACAACAAATGTTGTGTTTCAAGGAGTCCAAGAGTGCCCTAACAAGTGCAATGTTCAATTTGTAAACCACCTGCATCCAGCTTTCTGCAGGTGTTTAGCTCTGGGTATGTGGAAACACACCCAGGGATGGTTTCAGACACTCACATCACTCCCAGGCCGTTTCATGCGCACAGATAAAAATTACAGAACAAGCAGGTCCTGCCTGAAGGTGCTGCCTGCTGCCCCTGCAGCCCAACCTTGACACAATTTACAAATCTCCTGAACGTTCCCAGGATGTTCCATGAATCCTACTGCAAATGTACAAACACAAATAGCCAGCATGGCCTTTAATATGAGATTAAATAGTTTTATTATTTTAAATACGCATTATTCTCTGCTTCCAACAGCTCATCTGTTAACTTTGCCATACCATGGTGGTAGTTTGTGATGAAATTGTGTAAATAACTGTAATGACTTTTGTATTGTGGATATCTGAGTTATGCAGGCTGTTTGCATCTGCTCAATCCCTTTTTCCTTCAGAGGGACAGCTGAGTGTCCCTGAAAAGGAATGACTGTTGTCTTACTCAAAATCAGGCATCACAGATAACAAAGACACAATTGTTTTGGACATAGAACATGAAGTGATGATTAATCCTTTCCCCGAGCATTCTTGTCAAGTACTTACTTCACCTCCCACTTTAGTCAGTTCTCAAAAATCATCTGGCCTAGAGTTCTTTTCTTTTTTGGTTGTTTTTTTGTTTTGGTTTTGGAATATGTTGCCTAATTTTGTTAGTCATGACAAAAAGCTGAAACCAATGGTGATGAGTCTGCACCAGGTGCCTGGTATTATGTCATGTTAGACATTATCTAGCAAAACAGTCAAATACTTATTTTGGCTGAAGGGTTTTTTTTCCAGAGCAGGGATATTCTTCCCACCCACAAGAATTATTTTCTATTCTACTACCCAGAGGCCCATGAAAGAAAATGCCACTTTATCAACATATAGACAGTTGTGTTCTCCTGAAAATGTAAAGTTCATTCTTTCACTTGGACCTTCAAGTACCAAAATCAGGGAAAGCATTCCCTAATTCTGTACCTAATACACTGCAATTGACATAATCTTGTACAATGATAAGTTTAAGGCAGAGAGTGATAAACAAGTAATGTTATGTCCAAACCCATCACCCTGTACAAAACAGGTCTTGAGGTTCTCAAGCACACAGAGACATCTGGCCACGGCCAAGAAATGCTCCTTTCAGGAAAAGCAACACTTTGCTTTGATATATTGACTTGTCCCACAGCTAAAATGTTATTCATTTCACAGATGTTGAGTTAAATCATTACAAATAAACAAGCCCATTTCCCTGAGCATTCTTCTACCAAATAAAAAATGGCTTGCATTGTTTCAGGTGAAATCCCCTCCAAAGTGACTTGCCCAGATAACAGTGTTTACTTGAATTATTTTACCATGCAATTATGTTGTTTTCCATCCACAGTCAGCTGAGAAGCAAGATCCAAGATCATTCTGTTGCCATTGGATTGTGATGTTGGAGCAGAACTTGCAAAGGACATTTCATTCCACAAGGGCACGGTATCTCAAATACCTCAGCCATCTCTCTACAGTGTGATGGATCATCCTTCTCTTTCCTTTTTGGCTACACAGGGAACCCTGACAAACAGAAATCTAAATTTTTTATCTGGAACTCTGGCTGATTGCCTGATCTCTTTTAAACTGGCTGCTGACACTAGAGAAAGTTGTCTTTCTCTGAAAAAAAAGGTTAAAATCGATCACCAGGAGTTAGCTTCAGTGTCAGGGACCTTTTCTTTGCAAATTAAAGCTCTTGGCTGTTTCTTTTTTGAGATCTCTGATGTTTGTGTGTTTGTGTTGCACATTTTCATTAAATTCTTAGTAAATTGTTCTGCTCTGGGACTCTATAGGAGTTGAGACATCCTTTTTGTTATTCATTTTCCTTCCTAACAAACTGATTCAATTAGGCCTGAGCCCACACATTTTTGTAAACCAACATTTTGATAATAAATTGTCCCAATAGGTACACTGCTTTTATAGCATTATTTCTACATTTCTCTTGAAATCAAATA